CTTCGAATGCGAAGACCGTGTTCATGTAGTCGCGGAATGTCCGTTGTACAAGAAGGAGAGGGAAGTGTACGTGACTGAGCTGGGAAAAATAGATGGAACGTACAGGGAGATGTTTGAGGCATGGAATAGAGAGGAAAGGACGGTAGCTGTAGTGGGGCATAGGAGATGGGCTGAAAAGGCGGGAAGGGATATCGTTAGGATAGACAGACTAGGGAAGACATTTTTGAGCCACCTTTGGCAAAGTAGAAACGAACGATTGGCCATCGGTGATCGGTCCTGTGGGAACAATGCTCCGTCCTCTCGAGGACGCGTGGTCAATGGTCTAACCGCTAAGACATGCAAAACACAGGAGTACGCCCCCCCCCCCACCCCCCCTGGCTCTTGCCTGAGAAACAGCGGGAGAGCCTGGGGGCTACAGCTAGAATGCTGTCGGTCTGTTGCCGTTGCTGCTGCTGTGGTTCTTATCGTGATGACGTGAATTATCGCTCGGGCCTCTACCCATAAACTCGGCTGCCCACCCCTCACGGCAAACCATCACGTCATCGTGGTCACAAGCTGACCCAAAAGTCGACACAACCCAAGGAAGACATAACACTAAGGGAGGGAGTGGTCCCCACACCAAGACATACTCTAAATTAGAAAATTTGGCCCCAATCGCTCACTATATCATTGCTTGACTTGTGGCCTCGATCTTTTCTGGGCGCCATTGATTTCCTTTTGGCACAACTTTGACGCACCAACCCCAACCCGTGGTCACCTAAGACGAATGCCAACTATTCCTGAGCACGCGCAGCAGGGCATGGCCCTTGTTCGTGGTACTAGGTGCGGCCATCCAGGGTGCACGAAATGGCCAACATATGAAAAAACCGGCAGCAAGAAGGGTGGGTTCTGCTCCCAGTACGGGGGGGATGGCCCCTTTTCCTTGCCTGACGCTTCAGAGCAACTCAGTACCAGTGCGAAACATCGATGATCTGATGGTCATTTCCCATGACTCCGAAAATTTACACGTGCATATGCATAGCTCGGATGAATCTCAGGATGATGAGCGTACGTTCGCTCTCTCTTGCACTTGAGGCTACAGAGCCAGAAAGGTCGGTGCTCCGCCACTCGCTCCTGCCGGCTTTGTGAAAAGCACAAAGTCCTCCTGCATGCTGTCGAGCAACGTCCTCAGCGCCTTTTCATTTCCTCCAGGGTTCGCCGAAACCATGGTCTGCGTCCGTGTGAACAAGCAGCAAGCCGGAATGACGTTACAGACGAAAAAATCGGGATCGTCTGAAAGGTGCATGCGTAATCGTATAGTGCTCGCTCAATCCGATCCCTGCTAGAGTACTAGACTAAGCCTTGAAGCGCTCTGCATAAGGGTCAAGAAGAAACAAAAAGAGCACACGCATATCACATATTGGGAAAACCTTCGAGAGGGCTGGAGTGAGCGCATCGATCGAAAACCACTGCTGCCCGTTCGAAGCGACGACTTTGCCCCCGCACATGATAGCCGCACGGTGCATCCGAAGCTTGCGCTCTCATCGCCCTGTTACATGATCCGTCAAAGGGCACCCGACAAGTCACGGTACTACGCACATATTAGTTTGGAGTGTAAACCTCACGACCGGGCCATCCGGTGTCGTTCTCGAGCTCGACAAAACATCCGAAATACTCTTGCTACTGTAGTAGCTTTCCGTTTGTGAACAACCACCGGTTTCTCGAGTGGGCGGCGCCAGCTGGAAAAAGGGCATTGAGCCGAAAAGACAGGCCAACCGCACTGCCCCGTTGCCTACACAGCAAGATTCCTACGTCTCCAAGCAGGAGAAACATCTGAAGACGTCAACGAGAACCAGGAAGCGGAAAAAAAACGACGGGGGGCATGTAATACCTCGAAGGTCGCTCCTGACGGGCCGGCTTCCTTGATCAGCCTCAGCACAACCTCCGGCGTCCACGGCTGCGGTTTATGGCCGACATCGGCCACGGCAACATCGCCCGGCTGCCGCCGCGCCTTGCCCGACACAGAAGCGGACGGCGCGTATGATGGCGTGAAGAGTCTCGCCGCGGCAGTCGGGGGCGACACCGCCACCGCCCCCGCCGCCGCTGAAGACGATGCCGTCGATCGCGGTGACGGCCCGTGCGAAGAAGGAGGCGTGAAAACCTTCGTGGACGCGGCCGACGAGGCTAGCTTCCTCGAGGAGGAGGCAGACGAGGCTTGGGGCGACGGCGTCGTCGCGTAGGACGGTGTGAAGAGGACACTACCGCTACCGCTACGGCCGCCGGCGCCGGCGCCTCTGCTGTCGCCGCCGCTGTTTCTCGAGGCTGGGGACCAAACCGAGGCCGCCTTGGGCGGGGATACCCGCTTGGCAGGAGGGGGCGCGCCGGTGCCGCCGGCTGCGCCTCCTGCCCATGAAGGCAGTGCTCGCTTCTTGCCGCCGGAAGACGGCGCGACGGCGGCGGCCGCGGCGTTTGCTCGAGGGCGGAGCACCTCGCCCCCCGACCCCGGGAGCCGCCCTCCCCCGCTTTCGAAGCGTAGCCTCGCCAGCACCAGTCTGGGCGGTAGGTCAACATTTCAACAGCAACAGCAGTGGCCAATGACACCAACGGAGGTAAGACCACTGAGATCAAACGAGAAGGTTGTGCCCCCCCCTGCTAGCGAGGAAAGACCACGATGCATTTCCCGCGAGAAACGGACGTTTGTGTGTTGACAGCTTGCGGGGCGTTATCAGTCTGCGGGAGTTTGCAATCGTTTCCGCGCCATGCCAACCGCCCGATGGAGGTGAATTCATTCAAAGGTCCGGCCGGTAACAGCAGGCCCTTGACTTCTTATTTTTTCGTGACTAGATGGAGCTGATAAACTCAAGCCAGACACCCGAAACGTCAGACGACACGTTAAGCCGGAACTCACATATCTGTCAGGACAGGGACAAAGAATGCGATACACTGTTGCGGTGTCGATCAAACGAGCAGGGTGTTGTCCCCAAAACAAAACAAGCGCTACAACTATTAATATCTATTAGTGTTGCATGGTTGAGCCCGCAAACCTCTTCCCATAGGTAGGTAGGCACGACGCTCACGCTTGCGCAGCCGCTCGACTCCCTCCAACGACGCACACAACGCTTGAAGAAAATGCCACAGCCGGGCGCTAACCTGATCATGCTGTAGGCGGTCTTGCTCTCTGTGCCTGGAGGCAGCCTCTCGAAGATTGGCTTAAGCCGAAAGCCTGAGGCCAGCGGGTCGTGCCCTTCTTGCTTGAAGCCGTCCAGGATGTCCAGGATCTAAGCGACGTTTCAATCACAGGCAGCAACGAGGGGCACAGTGCGGTACACGTAGTTCAGCTTGCGCATACAGCCTGGTACCTCAGAGTTGTTCTCGTACCATGCGGCGTTATTTCCGTCGATGGGGGTGGATCTGGTGACGGAAGTTGTTGTTATCGCAGTCGCTACCGTTGCTGTTCTTGGAATTACGTCTCAAAAGTAGCTCACTGCCACACCTCTAGCTCGTGCTCGTACGCCAATAGGCGCAAACGCCCAGCCCAGGGGTTTGTCCATATAACGTACGTTAGCAACCTATCCAATGCTAAGACCAAACGCGTAAAGACGTCTGCACTGCACACGCATGCGTATCCACCAGACCCCTACCACCAACACTGCACGGATCGTCCACTTGACACCGAACTCCCCCGCAGCGGCGATTGCGAGTAACACCAAAACTCGCCAAACAACAGCAGTAAATACGGGCAAATAAATACAGCAGCAGCAGCAGTTTCGCGACCCGTGCAATCCATTGTTCTGGTCCGTGCACCTTGAGCTCCAGGTCAAGGTCGATGCCGAGGCGCCGGCGGTCCCACGCGAACGTCAAGCCTGCCTGCAAGCACGCCGCAAGGTGGCCCGCGAACGTCCCAATAGCCACCGGTCGCGGCATCCTGGCGGCCACCTGCTCCAGCGTCAGGGAGTCTGAAACCACCAGGGAGAGAGAGCAAGACACACAGACAGAGCGACAGTACACGTTTTTTAGGCATTGCGTGAGGTTTGGAAGCGATGTTTATCTGGGAGAGTAACACACTAGACAAGTGGAAAGGTGGCTGACGGAAATGAACCCATGGCCTGCCGTAGAACACAGGTGGGGCTCCAGCGTCAGGGAGACTGAAACCACGATAGCGAGCGACCATAACTGTTTCCGAAGGCACTGCGTGAGGTTCGGAAACGATATCCGGGAGAGCAACACACTTGACAGGTCTTGTGGTTGTGAATACTTGTTCATTAAGAGGTCGAGTCGAAAGGATAAATTGTGAAGTCAAAAAGTGTCTGACGGAAACGAAACTATGGCCGGAATACAGATAGAGCTTGATCACCGCGGGATGGGTAATCCCTAGCGAAAGGGATGAGTGGGCGGTCTTGCCTGGAATTGAAACTACCGCGGTATGAACAGCGTTCACGGAGGCCCCGGGAACAAGGAGACCACTAGCACAACAATTGGTGTGAAATATGCATACGCCACCACGTCTAGGTCTAAAGCGTGCTTTTGAATCCGACGAATTTCGAAGGGATTCAAGGAAACCGTACATTGCTTCCACCCAGCCGCGGAAAAGTGATTCGGTTGGAAGTCACGGCCGGCGTGGTTGAATGTGCGCCTGTGTGTACCAGACATACAACAAGATTAAAAAACAACAAATCGAAAAGGTTGAAAACTGTGTGCTGACCCTGCCACGTGGATGCTTCTTTCGGGTGCAACATGAAAGCAAAAAGAGATGTATCATATGATACTGCTGCACTTTTTCTAGAAAAACAAAACGGTAAGGAGCAGCGGTTTCGGAATATCAAGCGCAGACCTTGTCTCATGTAAGCCTCGTGGGCAAGTTGCTGCACCGAAGTCAACGGCTCGTCTTCTCGCCTGCCATAGTCGAGAGCGCGTGTACCGACAGCGGCAAGGGGTTCGGGGGTTCCGTGGATTGCAAAACAAAAATCAAGACACAAACGGCAGTAACTGGGTTCCCAGAGGTAGCGAGGACCTCCCGTCTAGCAGGACGAGCGCTCCCGCCCATCCGTGTCTCCCGCCGAAGCCGGGTCCAACCATGCTGCTGGGTTGGTTGTTACGCGAAATCGTCAAGAAAAAAAAAAAAAAGTTCCCTTCCTCATTATTGATACTCCTCTTTTGTCTCAAGTCCAAGGACCGGCGGCCCACCTTGTGCGAGCGCCGCCTCACGCCCGCCTTCGCCGACGCGTCAAAGTTAGCATGGAATAAAAAACGTGCACATAACTGGAACGAAACTCACCATGCTTTCATGTCAAAGCCAGCACATCTTATACACAACTGCAACGAAGCTCACGAAGTTTAGGTTTTCACGTAAAAAAACTCAGCACGAAAAAGGAAAACGAAGCTCACGATGTTGTCAGCCACGGAGCCTCCTGCACGGGCGCCGCGGCCACGTTGCTCTCCAGCTTCAGGTCAGCGCACGCCGCCTTCAGCACCTGCGGAGTTCATTAACCAAGGGAGGTTTAGTCCATCCCCCGCAAAACGCAAGGAATGGGTGCAGAATGGCGAGTGTTGGTTGAACGGGTGCGTCAACCCTTTCCGTGAATACCGCCAGCTAGGCAGTATCCCACCCCCTCCCCCTCGGGAAAGGAGGCAAACACAAAAGGGCGGCCGTCGTGACCCAATCATGGAATGTTTCGACATGAAAAAAAAAAAGAAACCGAGAAACACAAATCGGCGGCGCACACTAAAGGGCGGCCGACGTGACCTTGACAAGGGGCACATCGCCACGGGAAAAATACGAACGTTGAAACATCACCCAATCATAGGCCGGCGTCTGCACTAAGCGGGGCCGTGGTCTTCCATGTCGAAAGGCGTGCTGAATGCACACAGAGCGGACGCTTCAACGACTAAGGTACTAGCAAGAAGCTGTACACCTCCGTCGACATGCCCCCCCCCAAGCCGCCCCCCCCAATGTTTGCCATCGGGGTCGGGTTTTCGTCGCTTGGCAACGACGTTGTAAAACAAGCCCCCCCATCGGTGTTTGCGATCGGGATTGGGTTTTCGTCACTTGGCAACGACATTGTAAAACAAGCCAATTCACTTCGTGAACTCGGCAACCAGGTTACCGGGGTTTTTTTTGTTCCTCTGTATTTTTTTTGGCGGTAACCATAATGGTGGTCGAGTGGATCATTTTGTGCGGGGTGGACAAACCTCACTCCGCGCAAGGGGGATGATCGCACC